CAGTGTTTAACATGGTACCTTACAGGCTCATTAGAACTATGTAACAAAATGCTTCCATTGCAAGGATCAAAATTCTAAAAAGTACTTTAAATGAGTATATTAGGTCTAGCTCCCTAAGTTATATATATTAAAGTGGACATTAACTTTTAAGAAATATTCACAGTACGATCTCAACTTGCACACCAGTTTAACCATTTTTTTTTCTAAAGAACATACATACTCATATAATTTATCTCATTAATTCTTGCAAAGATTTGACTCTTTAGCACTATAAATATTTTTTAAAGGTAAAGATAATGAGCCTTAGTATACAGTATTTCAAGGCTTTCAACTTTTTAAATTTTAAAACACATATATCTCAATGTATCTCTTATTCATTCTTGGTTTGGGAAGCCAAGTATAACAGATATATAACCATGAGCTCTCTAAATTGTATGAACAACTTCTTTGAGTTGCTTAAGAGTTTTCAGAGACTAATATTGCACAAGGGGTTTTAGACATGTGAAAAGAGATGTACTGGCTAGATTTTTCAAGCATACTTCCCAAAAGAAGTAAATTTATTGTTTGTCAAACTCCTGGATCATACCTTCCAATAGAACTTCTTTTTTTTTTTAACTAAGCATGAACATGTATAAACAGAAAGAACATGTTCCTAACTAGGAACATTTCCCTTTAGATATACTTTGCCAAAATATTACTTACTTAGACAATCTGTTACATTGTGTGTAATCCTCAACTCTGCAGATGGTTGCACTTCCTTAATATTGCCTGTCTATAATTCCAAGAAGTACTACAGTACACTTCAGGGACTGTACGTGCTATAAAAATTGAAGGTACTTTATAAACAACTTACTTTGGAGTTCTCCCAAAGGAAGTTATTAAAGTAATAATGGTATTGGAAGTAACAGGCCACCCTCAAGGTGAAATATTAATGGGATTTTCTGTCTAAATATTATATGTTTCCTCTCATTAGCTTCTTTCACTATACAAGACAGACAGGTCCCATAAGGTAAGAACTGAAAACATACACTGGCAATTAAAAAGTAGGTCATTGCTTTCCTTAATGAGAACAATTCCAATAGAATGATGGAAGACAGCCAGATTACACCTAGTTGAGAAATCAACAGTATGAAAATGAAGATCAAAAAATGCAAACTACTCTTTGGAGAAATTTACATATAAAAGAGAGAAAGTAAATAGCAACTAAAGAGGAACTTTCTAGTTTTAGTTTTTATTACATGGGAGCAACTTGAATAGGCTTATAGCTGAAAGAAAGAAATTAAAAGAGAAGTAGAAATCCAACACAGAAAAAGGAGAAGTATAAATTATGATGCCAGGAGACAGAAATAAACAAAGTAGGTGTGGGCACCGGTAAATGGGTAGCCTTGAAGAAGAGGTAAGTTATCTTCTGAGGCACAAAGGGAGGAAATAAGGCTCTTATTTGGAAGAAAGGTACAGGAAAAAATTTCTTAAAGACATTAATTGTCCTAATGACCCCGGAGATACGGTTGGTTACAGAGGGTAGGACAGAATGGGAAAAAGGAAGATATATGGAGAATACTGAAGGTTTGTCATGGTTAAGAGAAGAAAAGCGGATGATCACCGACAAGTAAATGACAGTATCACTAAATAAATGTATACACACACTCCCATATAATATTCTGAAATAAGCTTTTAATCATTATTTAAATTTGAATCATTAAATTTTAATCATTATGTAAATCTTTATGACCATAAGCAAAAGTTCCTCATTGAAGTTTTAAAGAGGAACTTTTGCTTATGGTCACAATGATATAATAGTGACCAGATTTACCATCCTATCTGAAACAAACAAAAAAAAATAGAAACAATATATGAAATGATGGCTTTCAAGACATTTAACACAAAACATAGGAGAGCAATTCCTCAGAGTCAGGAACAAATGAGATGAACCCTATGAGTGCCCCAGCTCATTTACCTTAAAGGACTTTATAGGATATGGCACAGAACGGGGGAAAATACCCTTCCCTCTATCCTGTACCTTCCACACAGCCAAACAGAAGCAACTAGAGTTCACACCAGAGAGAACAGAGCTACAGAGGCAGGGAATTCCAGAGATCTGCAAAGGGTTCACCTTGGGCAGTCAGCAAAGCGCTGACCAAAGTTAAACTTCCAGAGTTTGGGGAAAAACTATGAGAAAGGTTTACAGGGACCATCCTGCTACATTCACATAAGACTGAGAAAAGTGCCTATTCTCTAAAGCCAGGCTGGAAAACCTCATAATTCACCAGGTATTGAGGGGGTTAAGAAGAGTGCTGCCTCACAACTGGGAAATAAATAGCAGATTATTACTGTTTTGAATTTGCTAATAAATCTTAAAGCAAGACTCAGAAAAATCAAACTGTTTTTAAGTAATCTGATAGTGTCAGAGATAAAAAATATTTACAAGATGACAAAATTAATCAGCATCAAACAAGTTTAAGTTCACATCTAACATCCAATAAAAATATTAGACATCCAAATAAGTAGAAAAATATCAAATCTGATGGAAAGAAAATTCAACCAAACTAAAACCAGAATTGACACAGAATTAGCGGGCAAGGACATTTCCATCCCAGTCTTACTCTACAGAGTTCAACTTATTTATTGTTTGTACAATTTACTTAGTTTACCTTCTACAATTTCTATTAAAACTGTTCTAAAACAATAAATAGTAAACAATATAGGAATATATAATGGTTAAAGGCTTGAAATTTTCAAGTATGCTAATGGATTTTTTCTTTTTTACAGAACCTTGCTCTGTTGCCCAGGCTGGAGTGTAGAGGCGTGATCTCGGCTCACTGCAGCCTCCACCTCCTGGGTTCAAGTGATTCCCCTACCTCAGCCTCCCAAGTAGCTGAGACTATAGGCATGTGTCACCATGCCCAGCTAATTTTTTTGTATTTTAGTAGAGATGGAGTTTGCCATGTTGGACAGGATGGTCTCGATCTCCTGACTTTGTGATCCGCCTGCCCTGGCTTCCCAAAGTGCTTAGAGATGTGAGCCACCTTGCCTACAAAAATTGACTCCTGGCATTTTGATAAGGATTGTATTGAATCTATAGATCAACATGTGATGAGTTCACATTGTTGACGGAAATGCAAAATGGTACATCCATTTTGGAATATATTACTGTAGTTTCTGTAAAGTTAACCAACGTTTACCAAATAATTGAAAAATTCCACTCTTACATATTTACACAAGAGAATGAACATACAGGTCCACAAAAGACCCATGCATGTAAATAATTGTAACTTTATTCATAATAATCCAACTTGTTTCCCAATCACGGAATGGATAAAAAATTGTGGTGTATAAATATATACACACACACACATACACACACACACACACATATACATACATACACACACACACACACACACAATAAAATACAATGCAACAATTTAAAAGTAAATGGACCACCAATATATGCAACAACATAGAAGAATCTTAATTATGCTGATGATCAAACAATGTATACTATGTGATTTTACTTGTTGCCAAGACCCCGAGAGTGAAGGTAGCAGATAAGCTGCAAAAGTATGTAACAAAAATTTGGGAATGATGGAAATGTTCTATATCTTTTTTTCCTCTTCTTTTATATTTTCAATTATTTCAGCAAAAGGAAATGTTCTATATCTTAATTGTAATGATGGCTATGTGAATGTAAACATGTCAAATATCATAGAATTTTATGTTTAAAATTGGTGATGTTTACTGCATATAAGTTATATCTCAAAAAGCTGACCAAAAATAAAAACCTAATGCAAGAAAATAGACAATATTTAATCCCTTCCAAGATGAGCAGTGTGATTCACAAGTAAATGGAATAGGCCGGGCGCAGTGGCTCACGCCTGTAATCCCAGCACTTTGGGAGCCCAAGGCGGGTGGATCATTTGAGGTCAGGAATTTGAGGCCAGCCTGACCAACATGGTGAAACCCCATCTCTACTAAAAATACAAAAATATTAGCCGAGCGTGGTGGCACATGCCTGCAGTCACAGCTACTAGGGAGGCTGAGGCAGGAGAACTGCTTGAATCCAGGAGGCGGAGGCTGCAGTGAGCTGCAATCACATCACTGCACTTCAGCCTGGGTGACAGAGTGTGACTTGTCTCAAAAAAAAAAAAAAAAAAAAATCAAGTAAATGGAATAAATGAACCCTAATATACCATTAGCTTAAGTTCTCTTTAGTTACAAATGAATGAAGACTTCTTTGTGGTTACTGTCTTACTACATACTTCATTAGAAATAAGTAGAGAGGCAAGCAGAATAGTTTATTCAACTCTGGGGGGTTCCAGTGACTAAATAATATTTAGCATATAGTAAGTACTTCTAGTAAATGCTTGTGAATAAACATTTAAATAGAAATGAACTGTTACCTGTTTTTTAATCTTACCTACAGTATTTAGACAAACACATGCATAAGATATTAGCTGGTTTGCATATTTCATTGTATAGACCTACCATGCCATTATTTCATGGTATAAAGAAATTAAGAAGTTTTGTGAAACATATTTGAACGACCAACTTTTAAATCATGATGCAGATATTTCACCTATTTATTCATTAAATCTTCATTTTTAACATAAAGAACAATTTGCAAAGTCTCTGTATTTTTATATCTTTTAGTTATAAATTAATTCTAAAAGCATGAACTACATTCTTCAACATTAACTGCTTTACATACCCTACATAAGAAACAGACAGAATTTGATATCTGAATAGTAAGTAAGATATGACTAATTTTTCTGGAGAATTTTATTCTAAATACTAATTACAAAAATGTGTAAAAATTTTGCTTACTGATTTACTGTCTAAGAGATTTCAGAATAAACATCTAGACAAAATGACAATTAACCAGGAGTTTTAAAACAGCAATAAAAATGTTTTGTAAACCAATACAGCAAAGCTTGTTGACATCAAATGACAAAGTAACTAAAAACCTTGAAATTAATTTGCAAAACAAGCAGTAAACTTACAGTTTGTTGCCATATGAAACTGAGAAGAAAGTGCCTGAGTAACTGAATTCCAAAATGTGTAGAAAATTTCAGGTTGTCCATCCTGTGAACAACAACAAACAAAAAGAAAAAATAAAAAAAAAAAAGAATAAAAAAACCATTTCATTTATTTTAAGAAATTATAATGGGTAACATGCAACCTTAAAACTGTATTCAAAATTTAAATAAAAATTTTAGACATCTAATCATCAAATAATAGAATTATTAATTACATGGAAATATATAGATGATTCAAATTATGTGTCATGTGCAAGTAATCAGTCATTATTCTGCTCCGCCACGTAATAGCTGATGTAACCTTGGGCAGGTTGGTAAGCCGCTCAGGGCCTTTGTTCTTCATACGTAAAATGGTGATAACATTGCAGGATAATTATGAGGATTAAACAAATTAATCAAAGTCTTGGGACAATGCCTGACATATAATAAGCCCTCAATGAATGTTAGCTATTATTACTACAATTATTACTCTCATCTTTTTTTTGAAATACAGAAGGCAATTTGTGTGACTATAACAAAATGATAGACAAAAGCATGCTTAGATGAAGGGTAACTAACAAGAAATAATTCACTATTACAAAAGAGAATGGCTGAAGTTTAGATATAGTTAAACTCACAGGAATTGCTACTACTCAGTTTAGCATACTCTTGTTCAACTTTGAATATAAGTTTTAAAAAGTAAGCACCATAAAGAAAAGTATTAATAAAAGTATCTTTTGTTAAAGAAAGGCAAATAACTTTAACACTGTTAAAACAGAATCACACTCTTAGAAATTTTGCCAAATACTTTCAGATACAACTAACTACATGTATAGTATACAATATAACATTGCTAATACTCGACTATTTTTTCAGCCAAAAATGCAGCTTTACATGGTTCAAAGTAATATTATAAGGCTGGACACAGTGGATCATACCTGTAATCCCAGCATTTTGGAAGGCTAAAGCTGGCAGATCGCCTAAGGTCAGGAGTTTGAGAACAGCCTGGCCAACATGGCGAAATCCAGTCTCTAATAAAAATACAAAAAATTAGCCAGTGTGGTGGCACACATCTGTAATCCCAGCTAGTTGGGAGACTGAGGCAGGAGAAACACTTGAACCTAGGAAGTGGAGGTTGCAGTGAGCCAAGAATGCACCACTGCACTTCAACCTGGGTGACAGAGTAAGACTCCATTTAAAAAAAAACAAAAAACAAAGTAAGAGTATAAATAAAATATCTCTAATGTTAAAATATTGCTACAGTCCCAAAAATAAAATTATAATTTTAGATAAGTCAACAAAATAACCAAAAAAAAAATACTGATTTGTGACTTTTATACCTATGTACACTTCCCACTTCCAATTTCATTATTTGTTCTTTTTAAAATGAGTCTTATGGTTGTGAATTTCCTCAAAACCTGTTTATCATAAAAGAGGCAAATCAAATCATTGCTCATTTCTTATGCAATGATCAGAAAATACATTCAGATTCCTAAGATTTCATGTATTATGTCTTGTGTATCTTAAAGTAGATGCTTTTCAACATGTTAAAGTATAATATACTAAATTAACAGAATGAAGGACTGAAACCACATGGTCGTCTCAATTAATGCAGAAAAAGCATTCAACAAAATTCAACACCATCTGATGATAAAAACACTCAACAAACTAGAACTGGAAGGAAATTACATCAACATAATAAAGGCCACATAAGAAAAATCCAGCCGGGGGCGGTGGCTCACGCCTGTAATCCCAGCATTTTGGAAGGCCGAGGCGGGCGGATCATGAGGTCAAGAGATGGAGACCATCCTGGCCAACATGGTGAAACCCCGTCTCTACTAAACATACAAAAAAATTAGCTGGGCGTGGTGGCGCGCACCTGTAGTCCCAGCTATTCAGGAGGCTGAGGCAGGAGAATTGCTTGAACCCGGGAGGTAGAGGTTGCAGTGAGCCGAGGTCACGACGCTGCACTCCAGCCTGGCACCTGGTGACAGAGTAAGACTCTGTCTCAAAAAAAAAAAAAAAAAAGAAAGAAAACTCCACAGCTAACATCCTACTCAATGGTGCAAAACAGAAAGCTTTCCCTCTAAAATCAGGAATAAGTCCAGGATGCCCACTCTTACCACTTCTATACAATATAGTACTAGGAGTCCTGCCAGAAGGATTAAGGAAGAAAACGAAATAAAAAGCATCCAAACTGGAGTGGAAGAAGTAAAATTATATCTGTTTCTAGATGATATGATCTGGTATGTAGAAAATCCTAAAGACTCTTCAAAAAGGTCTATTAAAATAATAACTGAATTCAGTAAAGTTGTAGGCTAGAAAATCAACAAATAAATATTTGTTGTGTTTCTATAAACTAACAATAAAGTATCCAGAAAAAAAAATGAAGAAAACTACCCTATTTATAACAGTATCCAAAAGTATTCTTATTCAAGAAAACAAAAAACTTGTACACTGAAAACTACACAATATTGTTCAAAGAAATTAAAGATGACACAACTAAATGAATAGCATCCTGTGTTGTTATGGATTGGAAGACCCAATATTGCTAAAATGTCCACACACTCCAAATGATCTGCAGATTCTCAAAATCTCAATGGCATTTCTGTAGAAATAAAAAAATACTAAAAGTCATGTAGAATCTCCTGGGATCCCAAATATGCAAATATCTTTCTTGAGGAAAAAACAAAGATAGATGCCTCAGATTTCCTGACTTAAAGACATATTGCAGAGCCAGATGCAATGGAACACACCTGTAGTCTCAGCTATTTGGAGGATGAGGTGGGAGAACTGATTGAGCCTAGGTGTTTGCAGCCAGCCTGGGCAACAGAGGGAGATCCTATCTCCAAAATAAAACCCATCCAAACGGAAAAAAAACATATTACCAAACTTCAGTAATCAAAACAGTATGGTAGTAGAATAAAGACAAGACGTATGGATCAATGGAGTAGTGAGACAAAAAATATACCATCAAGTATACGATCATACAATCTTCAACAAGGGTGTCAAGGCTACACAATAGGAAAAGGAGAGTCTCTTCAATAAATGTTGCTGGGAAAATTGGATATATACACGCAAAGAATAAAGTTGAACCTTTACCTCATACTGTATATGAAAAACTGATTCAAAATGGATTAAGGACCTAAACCTAAGGCCTGAAATTATAACTCCTAGAAAAAACATAGTAGGAAAGGTCCATAACACGGGATTTGGCAATAATTCTCGTACAGGATGCCAAAAACACAGATAACAAAAACAGAAATAGACAAACTGAACTATATCTAACTTGAAAACTTCTGTGCTGCAAAGGAAACAATCAATACAATGAAAAGGCAACCCACAGAATGGGGGAAAACATTTGCTAACCATATATCTAATAAGGAGTTAGTATTCAGGATATAAAAGTAGCTTTGACATTTCAACAATTAAAAAAATATATCATGATTAAAAAAACAGGCAAAGGACTTGAGTAGACACTTCTTTGAAGCAAATAAATAAATGACTGGCCAACAAGTACATGAAAAGATGCTCAATATCACTAATTATCATGGAAATGCAAATCAAAACCATACTGAGATGTCATCTCACACCCATTAGGATGGCTACTATACAAAAAAACAGTAAATAACAAGTGTCAGAGAGGATGTGGAGAAACTGGAAACTTTGTGCACTGGTGGTAGAAATGTAAAATAGTCTAACCACTATGCAAAACATTAGAGTGGCTGCTCAAAATTACCATATGATCCAGCAATTCCACTTCTGGGTATATAAGTAAAAGAACTGAAAACAGGATCTTAAAGATTTATTTGAATACTCATGTTCAATGCAGCATTATTCACAAGAGCCAAGAGGTGGTAACAACCCAAATGTCTATCAAAGAATGAATGCATAAAGAAAATGTAGTATACTCAGTCACGCATTTCTGAATGATGGTAATGTACCTGAGAAATGTATTGTTAGGCAATTCTGTTATTGCGCAAAAATCACAGAATGTAATAAACAAACCTAGCTGGGATAACCTACTACACGCATAGGCTTTATGTTATAGCCTACAATCCTAGGCTACAAACTTGTACATGTTATTGTAACGAATACTACAGGTAAATTTAACACAATAGTATATTTGTGTATTTAAACATCAAAAAGACACAACAACAAGAAGACACAGTAAATATATGGTTTTACAGTCTTATGAGACCACAGTTACATATGCAGACTGTCATTGACTGAAATGTTATGTGACGCATGACCGTACTTAAAATAGAACACTATTCAGCCTTAAAAAAGAAGGGAATCCTATCATATGCTACAACATGAATGAACCTTGAAGCTGTTACACTAAGTGAAACAACCCAGTCACAAGAAGATAAATGCTGCAAGATTCTACTTATATGAAGTATCTAAAATAGTTAAATCCTTAGAAGCAGAAATAATGGTAATTGCCAGGAGATGGGGAACAGGGAAAATGAACTAGTTATTTCCCTTGCTTAAAAAAGTTATTCTAATATATATTTTAGGACAACTATCATAGCCTGAGATTTTTTTCCCCCATAATACTCTTAAGAAACTTCTCTAGTTAAAATAACAGCAAGAATATTTTTAAGGAAACTTTTTGGTAACAGAAAAACAATTTATTTCATTTTTATTAATTTTTATTATTATTATTTTAAGATGGAGTCTCGCTCTGTTGCCTAAGCTGGAGTACAGCGGTGCAATCTCGGCTCATTGCAACCTCTGCCTCCCAGGCTCAAGAGATTCTCCTGCCTCATCCTGCCAGATATCTAGGACTACAGTCACGCACTACCACTGAAACACCAGCTTTTCCTACGTCTGAGCCTGCAGGCCTTTGGACTGGGACTACACCACTGGCTTTCCTTGCTCTCCAGCTTGCCAACTACAGATCTACAGATTTAGGGACTTGTCTCCATAATCCCATTAGCCAGTTCCTTATTTTCTTAATACAAATACATAACATTTCCTATTGGTTTTGTTTCTCTGAAGAATCCTGATACCCTAATACAGTTGTTGAATAAATCAGTCAATCAACCCAAGGACTTGTCTAAA